TCCTGATACTGAGCTGGTATACTGTAATTCAGAATAGATTTTCATCTCCCCAAAGTGACCAGCTGCATCCACAGGGTATACATGTGTCGAAACAGACAAGATGACAGTCCACCTTCATGATTAAAGCCTTGCCCCTCTGTATGTGCGCGTGGCATCAATCTCTTGGATAGCAGTTCTGCAACTGCCATCTTGCCAGTTTTACACACACACACACACACACACCACACACACACACACACACCCCACAGGTACCATTGATAATGACACAGATGGGTTGAAACCAATTCCATTCCAATTTGCTCATTGATAAAACTAAATTCCTAATCTGTTTATCCAATGTTCTGGTGTATTGCAATGGGTGACAGCATGGCAACTATTGGGGGAGGGGGAAACCCTTTTGTAAAGCTCTCTGCAGGATAGTTTATGAACAAGAGGAATGATCAGACTTAAGCTTGCGCGATCTACTTTGCATTTCACCAGTCTTGAGGTCCATCAGATGGCGTTTAAGGCAACAAAAGGGATCAAGAAGGGAAAAACAGACCTAAGGAACCTGCTTACTTCAAGGATTCCAGAATGCTTCAGGAAAATGAATAGTGTTCAAGGCGACCCATAATCAACCAATTATTCAGAAAGAGTATAGTCCTTGAATACACATAACCAATGAAGGGACACCTCCCTGAATAATTGATTCCACTGTAAAACTGCTCAGTTGGAACAGTTTCCCTCCCACTTCATAACCTGCCTTTTGTAACTTAAGTCCACTATTTGACGTCTTGCCCTCTGGAATGAGAGAAAACAGGTCCTGTCCCATTTTATGGGACTTCCTTTCAGGTATTTGAAGAGTGTTGTCATTTTCCCTTCCCCCCTCCCGTTTTTTTTCTCAAGGCTAAACGTATCCCACTCCTTTAATCTCTCTTCATAGGACTTATGGAGGGAAGTGCATAAACTACCAGAGCTGTGACTTCTGTAACAGGGCCTTTTGGCTTGTAGCATCCAAATTATGGGATAGTTTCTGAGGGTTATTTCTCTATGACCAACTAGTCTGTTCTGAGGAACTAAACAAAGCCCTCTTTCTTGTTCCAAGATATATTGTTTAATTTTTAAAGACTTACTGTATTTACTAACTTGCTTTATTGTGGTTTGCTTTATTACTTGTTATCCTGATAATATTCATGCTTAATGATACAGTACAGTAAGAGGCAATTCCATCAAGCAACCTAGCATGGTGATAATAAGAGACTGCATCAAGCCAGCCAGGATGTTTGGGACTACAAATGGGTTTGAATCTAAGTCTCCTCTGCCATCCAAAACACTTTGCACTTATGAGTCAGAAAATGTGGAGTTTTCATCTCAGGCGCCTTGCCATTATTTTGGTTTAATTGCCACTATGATGCATGATGCAACTGATCAAGTACCCAGTTTGCAGAGCAGGTCACTAGCAAGAGGCCTCAGCTTCTTGGTTACTCCTTTCTTGCCACCATCTGCTTCCAATCACTTGAATCTCAGACAAGCAGTTTCCTTTAAATTTATGGAATATATTTACTTAAGGGAAAGGAGACAGCCAATGAAATATCAAGCAACCATTGGTTCATGATTAGAACATTTCATGTTCTTTCCCTCTATACTAGTAGTAGCGAACCCCTGGCCTTCCAGTTGATTGAAGATCTTGCTTCAGCCCCAATGAGTCTGAACAGGGATGTCTTCTGGGAGTTCAGACATTGCTAAAACCACAGGTTTCCCCATACCTGCCCTTTGTTTTGAACAGAAATAGCCATCTAAGACACAAAGTGTGAAGGAGGGATGGTACCATTCCCTTGCATTTGTAAATAAAAATCTATCCATCCTAATAATCCAATTATTTTCTTAAATAAATAATGTTTTAACAGAACATGGAACAAAAGTAGTCAGGATGCCCAGAAAGAGATGTGAAAAGTAACAGAGATTTTGATTTATGTTGATTGATACTGAGATAAGTTACTTTAGAGACTTATTCAGGATTCTTTATTCAGTGGTATCTGGGGCATTCTTCACAGGTGAACAGGAAGACAGAAGAAAGGTAATTTTGCAAGATATGCTATTCAGTTGGGATGGCCTTGACTGACAGTTGTGCATTTACTAACCAATGAGCAAAGATCCACATATACTCTTGGCAGCTCCCAGGGAAGAATAATCAGTGCCATTGTTTACCTTGGAAGGTTAAAACTGATAAGGAGTCAGCTAAACCTTTTCAGCCTCATGTACATGAAATGTATTCTACCAGGAAAGGTCATGCCTGCTACATCAGCCATTGAGGTAATCCATGTTCTTGAACAACAGTCAAGTCACTCTCCAAAACTTTGGGAGGAGTGAATGGTATTTTTCCAAACATGACCGAGCCATAGAATAACATTCAATTTGTGCCACTCATGATTAACCCACATAATATCCATGCTGATTTGGATGTTCCTTAAGGACCCATTTTTTGACATTCTTCTATTTACTACATATGGGAAGGATGACTTAATGGTTAAGGGAGCATTTCTGACCTGGGGCTTTCTCTTGGTTGTGACTACCAGAATTTCCAAGCAGTATGACCAATATCAGATTCAAGAAGGCTGTATTCAGAGATAAGCAACAATTGATTTACTCAAATCAGCAGTGGGGGTAAGCTACTGCTGGAAAGTTGCAGCTTTATGCTTTAATGACTCACAAATCATTACAAGCTAGGATAGTTGGATCTGCATGAAGTATTTACCTACTTACTGTATTGTAGAAACATATATGATATATATATTATATATTCTCAAGACCATTTGATACCCTTGCTAGACTGTTGTGACATAGCCCACAAAGAGTCTCATAGTGCCTAAAAGATCAACAATATATTCAATTTGATGGACTAAAACCTAATTCTGTTGAGCCAGAAATATGTTTGTGCCTATGATTGTGGAAACGGAAGGTAGTAGTAACCATAAGGTCCAAGGGGAATGAACTGCATAAAGGATGGGTAGTGATAACTATTTTATTATAGTGGCTATTCACAAAATGTGCATGATCATTCTGATATCACAGCTGTACTGCAGTTCACTCAGTCTTCTGTTACTTGAGGTCAGAGGGACAAAGGTCTCTTTTTGTTTAAAATCATCCTGCACGTGTCAGATAGCTCTACAGAGTGAGAATGTCTAATCCTTAGACTTCATTCCCATATGGAAAGAGAATCCAATAGCTGTTGCAGTCATATGGGACCCATCAACATGACTGTTACCACTGACAGAACACATGAATTGGACCAATTTCAATAGGATGGCTGCGTTTACATTATCTTCTGGGTTGGCAAGACACACAGAGCCAGAAACTAACCACCCAGGCTGGGTTCAGACAACATGCAAATGTGATTGGAAGGTTTGTGACTCAGTGCATCTTATAAGCACATCCTATGGATTATGAATCAAACCAGTATCAGAATCAAGTATAACAACTTTGCGGTGTTAAATGAGAAATACAAGGCTGTAGTCTGGCATTCTGCAGGTTGTGATGCACTTGGCAGCCATCACATTACAGAATGCCCTTCTATACACGCATACTCCACCTAAAGACAGCCAGAGATTCTTTTAAACTCTATTCACACTTCTGCAACTGACATGGTTGTGTTGCTCCAAATTCACTTTCAGATGCATTCCTCAAGATTTAGTATATAAATGAACAAACTCTTGGAAAATCTTGAAAGATGAAAACCAGGTGATCACATAATTTCATACCTAATAATCGGATACACAAAGAGGTAGAAAGACTGGAACTGGGGTAATGCAGATCCTAACATATTGGCTGCAAAGGCAGGACAAAACTAGTATGACCTCCTTTGACACAAAGGCTGGTTAATCTAGCTACCACCTTAAACCCCCCTCCCCACACGGGCACTTCCAATGAGAACCGAGGACCTCCTGAAGCATAAAAGGGTCACGCGGCAAGGAGGTCTACACTAGTCAGCCTGGGAGTTTTGCCAAAGCAGCTCTCCCCAGCTGTTTCTAAGATACTCCATTCATTTCTAAATTACCAACCAGCGCTAGACTGCGTGGCCTATCCTCGCTCCAAGTTAGTTTAAAAAAAAAAACCAACCTACTTAGAGATCTCATTTGCGGCCAAGGGAGCCAGGTTGGTAACAAAACATTACCCATCAGGGATGGATTATACACATTTCTATGAAAGCTGCAAATTAGATACGTGTAACATGATCCGCATAACAGATCTGACTTTGGCACACGTTAAAGCGGGAGGGGGCGACGGAAGGGAACGGATTCGCATCGAAGAGCTGCCCACCGAATGCATTTCATTCTCCTGTATTCGGTAGCAACTAAACCACCGAGCCTGTAACTCGGCGGAGCAGGCATTAATTTCGTCTCCCCGGTTTTCCCACCACCTTTACCTGAATTGGTCAAACTGGGCATATTTGCCCCACTCCTCTGGGTTGCTCTCGTAAGATTCCAATAAAGTCTGCACTTCTGCCACATTGACTTTATCGCCCGCAAACAAGTGATGCAGGATCTCGATCAGCTCCTGCAAGGTCCGCGCCTTCCATACTTCTTGCACCGAGTACTCCATAACCGTCGGTCGCCGCTCGGCTGGAAGAACAATTCCCGCTGGACAACGAAAGCTCGGCTCCCACCCTGCAAGGCAACGGAAAGCGACGCCCGCACTGGAGCCGCCGGCTTCGCTCGCCTCTCTCTTCTGGCGCTCAGAGGAGGAACGTACCAAATATCCAAGGAGAGCAGAGGGAGGTACCAACTCAGCCCTTTCAGTCAGCTATAGGTTCCTGGGCACGCTAAAATAAAGGACACCCCCAGCGTCGCCGCGAAATAGTTCACAGGCTGCTGTTTGAGAGCCCCGTCGCTTTTCCAGAATGAAGCGTCCGCCTCTTCTCTTGCCTTCCGGCCCCGTTTCACACAGGATAGGACCCTGAGTGAGACGAGGTTTTAACTCTGCAGCACAAGGCTGGGGTTTCGGGGAGAATGCACAATGAAAGGCCTTATCAAGGGAAGAACGAAGGACCTCTCAGCCCTCGAAGGTTCTCTTAGGTTACCATTACTGGTAACCTTTACATCTGTAATAGAAGGCAAAGCCTCCAGATTCGATCAGGTTCTCCAGCAATCTAGCAAATCCTAGAGAACCCTCATCCGTTCGTTCTCTTTGCCTCCCCACTTCGTTTCACATGGCAGCGGGGCTCTTTAATTCCCACTTTTCGTGGTGCAATAGTCATGGGACTCGCAGAACCCGAGATGCTTGTGGTCAAATACTAGAAATGCACTCGATAGTGCAGATTATTTTATCCTTCAAGTGGAGAATGTTTAAAAGTACCAAAATGATAAAAGGGGGGAGATTCTCCCCTTTCTATCATAGCAGGCACAGCAACGCCGAGTTTTGAAAATGGAATTAAGAGTTAGTACAGCATTGTGCAAGCATCGGGGTGGTGAAAGAATGTAGTTTAGGACATAGTCAGCTGCATCCAGAGATGTCAAGAATATAAATTTGGCTAAAAGTAAATTGCAGCAAGAGAAGCAGGTGCAGAATCCCAAAGCAAGCATAAAAACTGTTTGAAGTTCTTCTGTCAAAGGCAGTAAGTCAATCATTAACTCAGAAGATAAGCTCCCACTTACATCATTCATACTTCTGGCGTAGCAACCAAGAGAGGGTGGTAAGCATCATCAGCTGAAATTTCAGTACAGAACAGAGTCAGTGCTGCAAAGCTGTGTACCACCTATCCTGAACTGGAATAAATAAATTCTGTCCCATTGGTACAAGAGTCTATATCAGTGTTTCTTAACCTTGGCAACTTTAAGATGGGTGGACTTCAACCCCAGAATTCCCTAGCCAGCCATGGGAGTTGAGGTCCACACATCTTCAAGTTGCCATGGTTGAGAAACACTGGTCTATATAAACACACACACACACACACATACGTACATCCTTTGCACAACTATTAAGTGCTCTGTTGTGCATTATATGTAACCATTACTACTAATCTTCACATTTATAAGGTAATGTTAGCTAAATTCATGTGTTGTTGTTAACTTATACTAAGAACACATCTGAAAAATTAAAATTGCAGTTATTTGCAGATGGGGTATTAAAAGCACAAAATACTCCTTTCATTTAGAACCCCTCAAATACATAATTTATTCCAGTGAATAAATTACAGAGTCCCATTTGTTTTCTTAAATAATGCTGTTTTCCTGAGTTTATATATTCAGTTATTTTCACTAATGGAGAATTAATAGGCATAACTTCTTTATGCTTCTATTTACAAAAGCTGACCATGATGACTTTACTATAGTGTATCATGCTGCCTATATGAGATACAACACTCAGTTGTTTTGTGCAGAATAGACTGGAACACAAAGAGCCTGAATTTGCAATCCAAAGACAGATGGGATTTCTGAACAGGAATGATCGTTTAGGTAAGTGTTTTACCAACTGAACCTATTTCAAAAATCAAATTGCTAGGCAACATTTTGAATAATTATTCAACATTTTGCATTATATAATCTCATTTTGTAGTATTGTTTATAATATTAAGAATCTTAAAATCCAACTTAAGTGAACAATCTAGAAATGATGTAAACTTTCACTGGAAATAGAAATGTGGCTTTCAAAAAGATTGCACACATCAACTCAGTTATATTATTTTTTCCAGGAAAATATCAGAACATATTATAGGTGAAATGCTAAAAAGGTCAACAAAACTCTTTCTCGTTCTAAATATTGAACAAACAAAGGTGCAAGAAGAAAGTGTTGCTAGTTGGTTCTTCTCAAACTTAACTTCCAGCTTGGGAAAATGTTTTGGTGATTCAAAAGCATTATTAATTTCTTTGGGATTTATTTTCCAATGGATCAGAACAGCTATTTGCATTTTCACCTGAATTATTTAGACATTCATATTAACAAATCTTTTCTTTCATTATTCATAGCATTCATTCCATACTTGAGCCATTAAATAAAACAATTTGTTACGTGTTCCTATGTGTAGGACTTCAGAGGCTGAAGTGTGCATTGTTGCATATTTTGACATTTTGGTCTGTATTAAGGTTATAATTCTATTTTCTAAGTGGTTGGCATTTAGTTCAGGAGTGGGGAACTTGTGGCCTGTCAGATATTGCCCAACTCTAACATGCAAGCCTGCTAAGCCAAGAAGGAAGAATGCTAGGACTTGGGTTGAATTGGAAGGCAGCGGTTCCTCCATGTTTGACCTAAATTAAAGAAGGAAAGCTCTCTTTCTGTGGAATGCCGTCCCACCAGATAGAAGGACTGTACCTTTGCTTCTAGCATGCAGGAAACTTTTAAAAACATGTTTTAATGTGCATTTGGGGACTGAGGTGAGGATGAAAGATGTACTTGAGTTGAGATGAACCTGGCTGGTTGGTGTTCTGTTATGGTTTTATGATATTAGTATTACTATTATTATTTTGAATCTATATTGGTCATATTTTATATTTATTAAATTTGTAAACCACCTCACTCCCAACAGCTGTGGGCAGTTCATATTTATTATTGTTATATCTGGTAATGTTGATAAATGTTGGTCTATTGTATGTGCTGTATATAATGTAAGCTGCTTAGAGCTGTACAATGAAGCAGCAAAAAAATCATTTACAGTAAATAAAAAAGGTGGCAGAAGAGAATGTAAGAGAGAGGGAACAAGGAAAACCATTAAATAACTGCAATATATCAGAGATTTCTCAGAAGAAACAAATTTCTGCAAACTTGGCTTGAAAGAATGAATACTGAAAAAAAAAGTGACCTTACAAAAACAGAGACCAAATAAAACTTGTTTATGCCATGGATAAAATATGTTGAATAATTTAACACGGCGGATTCTAAAAGTGATACATTACTGTTATGAACTTCAGTTGCTGAAACCGGGTTCAGCCTTACCAAATTTTTTTTTTTTTTGCTTTATAATTTTTATTAAATACGTTTTTTACAATGTTAAAAGATAAACACAAAATATAGGGAAAAAAGTAAGAAAGAAAGAAAAAGGCATTGGAAACAATAGAAAGCAAAGAGAAAGAAAAACAATAGAATACTTAAAAGAAGCAATTTCCGATCCTCTTTACAGCAGTTATAGACATACTTGAAACCATTTCCCCCCTTCTAAATTACATAACATTGTTCCCTTCCCCCCATATTCAACCCTTATTAATCAGCAAATTTTGCCTTACCAATTTTGTATTAAAGAATGTTTTAGATATATCAATTTAAAAACAGGAACAAGTGTAGGCCATAGCTAAAAAGCAAGATACTATTAATTTCACTTTGGACTGAATGTGGTTATGGGTAAATATTAAAATGCTACTGGTATAGTTTACTTCCAGTCCTTACTTCACTCCCTAAAAATGGGGGAAATCATCTAATCTGTGATACCTCTTAAAGGTCACTATTTGGGAGTTATTAATTTACTTAAATAGTGTAACAAAATTCTGTAGCCTCCACTTGAAGCAACCTGTTGAAAGATATAGACATGTGAAATATAAAGGTCAATGAGGACAATGGCTCTCCACATACCATTTGGATGAACTTATAAATGGAAAGGAGTTACAAAGGTCACCCATTAGAAGCAGAACACATATACCTTGGATGAGAAAGAATGCAGAGTGTGATTTGCTTTTGAAGTGGTTCTGAGACGTATTTAATCTGTGATGACTACATCTGGGCCTAATGGTTAGAAGAATGCCATTATTTTCCACTTATAATTTGTGAATTGCAGTGCAGCCTTATGATGGTAGAGGATGTGCAGACCAAAGTTTTCCTCATCAGCAGGTATCTGAGAAATATATGAATGTGAGAACATTTTCTGCATGTTTGATTTAGAGAGAGTGTGTGATAAATGAATAGGCTTCAGATACCTAATGTTTTGCAAAAACATGAAATTAAAGGTTGGTTCCTGAATATAATAGCAATATATGATAGAGGTAAAGCATACATAGACCACCCTGAGCCCTTTGACACTGATATTAATAAATCTTTTAAATACAATTACTCACCACTGAACAAGAAGAGGATGTGTGATGTTTCCTTGGTTGTTCAATTTATTTATGAATAAATTAATAAGAAATCTTTGTGGTAACACTGGAGATGGGTTAATTAGGGCTGTGAATGCATGTGTACTTGGCTGAGAATGCAAATGATTTGCAGCAAATATTAGATGGTGTGAGACAACAATGGGCATAGGTCTGAAAATTAATGTATCAACAAAAGAGTTGTGTTTGGTATGGGAACAGGCGTGAAACTGGTGTAAAAAATTTATGGTATGTAAAAAATTGGAGCAAGTAAGATTATTTTATATACCTTGGTAAAAAGTTTTCGAAAGATAGAAAAGTGGAGAAATTTTAAGATGTGCACGTGGTGGTAGAATGATGGTATGTAGTACGTATGTGTGTTGGGCATCAAAAGGAAGTGGCTGCATACTGGAGCATGCTCCTGGCCATTTTGTTACGTAGAAGTCAATTCACTATGTTCTTTTAGTCAAAACCCTATGTGTTTTAGGACACATAAAAGCTGAATGCCAGTAGGAATGAATCACTTAAGAAGCAGGTGTGATAAAAGCAGAAAATTCAATAGAAGAAAAAACCCCGCCTAATCCCCAGGAAGATACACACAGATGCTGACACCAAAACAAGCAGCCACTCAGTAACCCAACACACACCCCCAATCCCCCCCTTCCC